AGTGGAACTTGAAGTCCAATATAAACAGTATTTACCTGCAATATTTGTCCAGTTTTATGTAGTACATAATGTGACATTATAAGTGGAACTTGAAGTCCAATATAAGCAGTTCTTACCCGTAATATTTGTCCTGTTGTATGTAGTACATAATGTGACATTATAAGTGGAACTTGAAGTCCAATATAAGCAGTTCTTACCCGTAATATTTGTCCTGTTGTATGTAGTACATAATGTGACACTATAAGTGGAACTTGAAGTCCAATATAAGCAGTTCTTACCCGTAATATATGTCCTGTTGTATGTAGTACATAATGTGACATAATAAGTAGAACTTGAAGTCCAATATAAGCAGTTCTTACCCGTAATATTTGTCCTGTTATATGTAGTACATAATGTGACATTATAAGTGAAACTTGAAGTCCAATATAAACAGTTCTTACCTTTGCCATATCAGTAATAGTGCTGGCACTGTCGATCAGTTTTTCCTGGTCCATTTTAACCTTCCTCAGACTGAAATTAAGAGCGTAAGACGTTTGGTAATTGCAGGAAAGATACAACTTGTGTTGTTTGAAGTGATTATTCACAATGTCTACTTCGTGTTCAATAAAATAACTACACCTGTACATCTTATAGAATAGTACGGTTACAGTGTAACTACACCTGTACATCTTATAGAATAGTACGGTTACAGTGTAACTAAACACCAGTACATCATATAGAATAGTACAGTTACAGTGTAACTACACCTGTACATCCTATAGAATACTACGGTTACAGTGTAACTAAACACCTATACATCGTATCGAATACTACGGTTACAGTGTAACTAAACACCAGTACATCCTATAGAATATTACGGTTACAGTGTAACTACACCTGTACATCGTATCGAATACTACGGTTACAGTGTAACTAAACACCAGTACATCGTATAGAATAGTACAGTTACAGTGTAACTACACCTGTACATCCTATAGAATACTACGGTTACAGTGTAACTAAACACCTATACATCGTATCGAATACTACGGTTACAGTGTAACTAAACACCAGTACATCGTATAGAATATTACGGTTACAGTGTAACTAAACACCTATACATCCTATAGAATATTACGGTTACAGTGTAACTAAACACCTGTACACCCTATATAATAGTATGGTTACAGTTTAATATTACACATTTGTTTTTACTACCAAATAATATGATTACATTTAAAAACACACATATCCTGTCGAATATTACGGTTACAGTATATAAACAACATAAAACAATGGTACATTATAACATAATTAGTCCTACAGAACTAACAAAACCACAGCTCAGATCAACATTCGTGTCAACCTAATATTTTAAAGAGGATTAAATATCTAAACTTTTTTTTTCTTGTATATATATTTCTAATCAAACCTGTCTAATTCTGAACTGCTGTAGTTTGTAAGTAAAGAAACAGAATCCAACCTTATAACCTTATTTAATTCATCTGCTGCCACCTATCTTTCACACTGTACAGGGATTTAATTTTAATTTTCGTCTACCTGTAAATAGCTAGAAGAAATTTTCGCTGATGAGTTCTAACTTTGGCAAAATCTACACGTTTAACCAATTTGGTGTTCCTGTAGATCAGCCATGTTTCTCGTAAAACATTCGCTGCAGCATTTTTTAGCTGAAACAGAAATAAAACATGAAAGTTATCCCATACGTGTAATTGATAACTATGAAACACAGTTGATATTCAGGGTTTATAGTGTCTTTCCTGTGCTACATTTAGTCTTAAAGAAGATAGGATTATACAACACATTTAGATTGATTTAGTTTCTTTGGAATTTCTAAAACCACCTAAATAAAATGATAATTCTAAAACAATCTTAACTATAAATTAGCCTAATACAATGTAAACTTAATACAGTGTAAACTGTAAAGAACCTCAATACACTGTACATTATACATATCCTCATTTATCTGTTGAATATGATAATAAGTACCTGAATATGATAAGTACCTGAATGTAATAATAAGTACCTGAATATGATAATAAGTACCTGAATGTAATAATAAGTACCTGAATATGATAATAAGTACCTCAATGTGATAATAAGTACTTGAGTGTCATAATAAGTACCTGAATATGATAATAAGTACCTGAATGTGATAATAAGTACCTGAATATGATAATAAGTACCTGAATGTGATAATAAGTGCTTGAATGTGATAATAAGTACCCCTGAATGTGATAATAAGTACCTGAATATGATACTAAGTACCTGAATGTGATACTAAGTACCTGAATGTGATAAAACATTCAGGTACTTATTATCACATTCAGGTACTTATTATCATATTCAGGTACTTAACTTATTATCATATTCAGGTACTTATTATCAAGCACTTATTATCATATTCAGGTATTATCACATTCAGGTACTTATTATCACATTCAGGTACTTATTATCACATTCAGGTGCTTATTATCATATTCAGGTACTTATTATCACATTCAGGTACTTATTATCACATTCAGGTACTTATTATCATATTCAGGTACTTATTATCATATTCAGGTACTTATTATCACATTCAGGTACTTATTATCACATTCAGATACTTATTATCACATTCAGGTACTTATTATCACATTTAGTATCATATTCAGGTACTTAAGTACCTGAATATGATAATAAGTACCTGAATATGATACTAAGTACCTGAATGTGATTTCTACAAATTACATATATTTCAGATAGCCTGTGACACGGTCATATTAGAGGCAGATCAACTGACATACTTAACGTAAAGAGGGTATAGTGGTAGCAATCAGATACTAACCCGTTTAGTTAGCTGAGTGTGCATCATGAAGTTGTGGACGTGCTTTTCAGCCCGAGTAAGCTCCAATTTTCGGGCTATTACAGCTACAACGAGGGCTGTACATCCGGCTCCCTAGGAAGCGCCAGTAAATATTCAAATAAGAGAGATAAAAAAAGGAAATCAGTCTTTATCATGAACTAAAGTCAAGTTGAGTGACATAAAGATCAAAGTTAGATCAACACTTATATCTGAAAATAAAAAATACGTTCACATTGAAATTATTTGATATTTTACAAATACCATTTCAGTTTTACTGGAAGAGCTTAAAGACGAAACTTTATCAAAATAATATAATTTAGAATTTATTATTTCGTCCAATGTTTATACTAAATTAATTGTAGCACTTTTACCGTCGTCTCTGGAGGGGGGGGGGGCAGGGTATTGCAATCGGATCCGTGTGTGTATGTGTCTGTCTGTCTGCGTTTCCGCGAGCTTATCTCGAAAACTAACAGACCGACGTACACGAGAATTTTACACAAGATGGGTAGTAAGTATAGAACAGTCTTCCCCAGACTTTGTCCGGATCTAAATCGGGATTGTAGAACACTTTGAAATATTTTTTTATAATAAGGAAATGTGACAGTTTTCGTGGTTTTGGGTTAAAAACTCTGTACAGTATGATCTGATTTGTACCAAATTGAATGGACACATTAAGGCTGAGATTCCTCATCATACTACAAAAAAAATCACCCGGATCGTTAATTATTTTGGATCTGAGAAGGATCTCAATGGTGAAGTTTGACGTTATCGATATAAACGCATGTAATCTCGAAAAGGAGCGGCGGGGTGTGTAATCTTTATGGTTGTCCTTGTTATTTATCAACTGTACTAGTTTCTGTTTAAACCACTTTAATAGCAGCACAATCTAGTTAATAATAAACAGTTCTTTCTACCCAATACTGTCCATATAAACAAAGTGTTCGTTGGCAACAATTAATAATATTGACTTACAACCAGTATTGTTCATCTAAACAGTAGCCCAGTTAACAATAACCGATTCTACTCCAGTTCTATACTCACTTTTACAGTGTTTCGTTAGAACAATGCACTTTGAAATATTTTTATTAAAATCAGGGCTAAGCTAATAATATTTTTCAGATCTATTATTTCTTAATATCATTGTATTATGTTGAAAAAACGTAGTATATCATAGCAACGATACACAACAAAAGTGAGTTAAACATTGTTATTTTCTTTAGTTTAATTTATATTATTAGTAACTTCTCGTCATACTGAATGTATATCTAATCACTACGAAAGGTTATATTTGTTCAAAATTACATGCTTATCTACATAATGACGTCCTTTTCTGTAATCTCTCTCGGTTTCCAAGTTTGTTTCCATTCAATAACCGTTGTTTTGGAACAACACCCTGAATATTACACTTGGTTGTTACAGAGGAAACCCATCATTAGTTGTCATTGTAATAATGAATACTTACGTCATGCAATGTTAGTTAATCAACGTTGTGGTGTCGGAATGGTTTGGTATTTCTGTTTTTGCTTATTTTCTAGCTTGGCCAATTTTTTTTACATATTATATTTTTGTACTGATTATTACTAACAGGATTGTGTATATGCTATATCCAAACAGCTTGAATATTCCAGTCAGCTAGTCACGTGACAATTGTAGCCGTGTAAAACACACTGTGGAACGAAACGTATCATTTTAACATTGTTTCGCGTTAGACAGTTAGTGTGATGCTATCGAAAATCAATAACGTTTTTGGAAGGGTATGTAACAGCCATTTCTATCACAAACTATTCATGCACTTAGATCATAAAGCTGTGTTCAGATCGGGAAGTTAGAGCTTCATGCACTTAGATCACAAAGATGTGTTCAGTTCGGGAGTTTAGAGCTTCCAAGACAAGGATATGTACTAAATGGCAAGAGATATTTAAGAATATGGATCAACTTTGGGTGCCAAGATCCTTCATAAAACGACCTGCTCACGTCCTACCTCAGACATGGTAAGCAAAGTGCAACGTTTTATAACAGGTAAGAATCCACGAACAGAAAGATCAGTGGTAAAAACTCTCTTCATGTTCCATGTACCAACATCGTCCAGATGGGTATCCACTGGAAAAACGTTAAAAGTCACATGCACACAAGCTGCTTCCACGACATATTGTATCAGTTTAACAGTCCCATACCTCAAGCAGCTGGAGTCAACATAGTCCAGAAGGATATCCACTGGAAAAACGATAAAAGTCACATGCACACAAGCTGCTTCCACGACATATTGTATCAGTTTAACAGTCACATACCTCAAGCAGCTGGAGTCAACATAGACCAGATGGACATCCACTGGAAAAACGATAAAAGTCACATGCACACAAGCTGCTTCCACGACATATTGTATCAGTTTAACAGTCACATACCTCAAACAGCTGGAGAATGAAATAGGTATTCATGATAATTCAAAATAAGACATAACAGTTAAGTCGCCAGATGCAGCTTATGGATTTATGTTCAATTGTTAAAGTAAGTGCTGGGAAACCGTCGTTCTTTACACTAGACGGATTATGAAAAGAAGCAAGGAGTATGGATGTGGTTTGAACACGAAATCCTTACGACAGAGCCTTTAGACATTGTCTATAACAATTTTTTAATGTAATGAACGTAACTTCTATCAGATTTTACATATATTATATCAACTCTCTGTACACCAAACATATCCAACATCTTGATAGCAAATGTTACAATAAAGCGAAATACCCTGGATGTTGAATCAGAGTAATCATAGGGGTGAGAAAAACATACTGTATGCGTGTTAGGACTACCAAGCCGGATCGCATTACGTCATCTAGCCTAGCTGCTATCGGAAACAAGAGAGTGTTGGGCACTCATCAGTAAGACCTTAGGTTCTTGTGATGTTCGTAAGTAGGACCTTAGGTTTATGTAATGTTCGTGAGTAGGACCTTAGGTTCATGTAATGCTTGCCAGTAGGACCTTAGGTTCTTGTAATGTTCGTGAGTAGGACCACGGGTTCTTGTAATGCTCGCCAGTAGAACCTGAGGTTCTTGTAATGTTCGCCAGTAGAACCTTAAGTTCTTGTAATGTTCGTCAGTAGGACCTTAAGTTCTTGTGATGCTCGTCAGTAGGACCCTAGGCTATTATAATAGCAGTTTCAATTACACAACCATTTTTATTATATTGAATATTTTCTATGAAAGACGAAAATGACTACTTTTTACACATTAGTTTATCCCAGATAAGTAAAATAGATCGGCTAAGTTGAAAGTCATTTATTTCAGTCAATATAACAAACACTCAATCTTATATATATTGCAAACTGTGGTGTCTGTCCGAGCGTTCGTCTGTCTCCCGTTTAAGGCGGCAGCTTTCCGCGCTGAGTTTGAAAAGCAGACAAAGCTCAACATTCACTTTTGAAATGACGGGAGAACAGACTTGAATAATGTTGATGTCAAACATTATTTAACGAGCAGGTTATTCTACACTAAATTGTTAGGAATTAATCACACTATCATTCACATTTCAAAATGTGACGTAACTTAAAGAATATAAATGTAGATTTACCGTATGTTATTGTTGAGTGGCTCTTAACATGACTGAAATATTCAACAATAACCTTTTGGTATAAGTAGCTCAGAGCTTTGGCTATGAGTGAAACCAAGAGTGCAACCCAATTAATCTTTTTAAAGTCCATGAAATAATTGAAATTGATAGATTAACTTAAACATTTCCGTCACTGGGGACGGGTACTTTTGCTTGTATTTCATATTCTAACGAGTTTTAATAGTTTCGTTACGCCATCTAGTGCTATCTCTGGCTTAATACAACTTGATAGTCGTCAGAATGGACAGATATTCCATGTTATATTTCTGTTTCTGGATGTGACCATTTGTAGATTTTTTTCCAATATTCAGGTCAAAATCACCTGATCATATGATTTTCATGACAACGACGTAAACAATGACAAGATAAAGATAATGAGAGACGTAGACACATTAAACGGGTCAGTGATCTTATTTCTCTCTTATCTCGAGCGTGGTTAAAAAACAATGTCCACTGTTCTTGTCCAGACTCGATGTCCAAGATTCTTCTTTTTTAACCATCCAAGTAACTGGTCAGTTTGGTCATGTACGATACTGGACTAACTCAACTAACTGGAAGAACCGATAATAAGAAGGAAGAAAAAGCCATTTATCTTAGTCTGTTCGAAAAGATTCATACACGTGTTTCCTTGACTGTAATTAAGGGTTGTCCGTGTTCTACATCAATTACAGTGGCTTCTGTTATAGACCATTTTGATGGTTTCTTATTGTCGGCTTTGTTAAACACAGATTTTCGTACTCTTTTTGTGAGCTATGTTATATAGAAATTTTGGTATTTTTTGTGATCTGTGTTAAACAACATTTTCGTGTTTATTTTGAGGGTTGTGTTCTACACACTTTTTCGTGTTATTTTTGTGAGATGTTTTCTAAACGGTTTTTCATGTTATTTTTGTAACATTTGTTCTACACAAATTTTCGTGTTTTTTGTCAGATGTTTTCTAAACGGATTTTCATGTTCTTTCTGTTTTACACATGTTTTCGTGGGTTGTTTGTGTGTGCAACATACATCAACTGTTATGATTCTCCAGAATTACTAAAGTTACTCTAAAAACAAAGTTTCTGTTCTTGAAAATACCACGATAATATGCTCTCAACAAACAGCGTTTGATCCGACTTCTGTACAGTTTGCTCATTGTCAAATGTATTGTTTGTTTTCAGAAACAGAAATGTAACTTAATCGCGGCTTTGTTTCATTTTAATTGTAATTCTTTTCAATGTTAATCAACCATGTTACAAAAACTATTTTTATATATAACTTATTTTGTCCAAAAAAGAAATGATGACTACATACTGACCATAAGACCCGTGATGACAGCTATCCCTTTCCCACAGTACGTGTTTGGTACAATGTCCCCGTACCCCACGGACAGGAAGGTTATGACGATCAACCACAGGCTGTTTAGGAGATTGGTGTGCTCTTCGTCGTGATATCTGAAAACAAAACGGTGTGAAAATCAGCTACGGGGACCTCTTTATGCAGGATCAATAAAATAGTTTGAGTCTTTCGTGAGGCCCAGGGAAATGTCTATATCTAGTTTATAACCCATACTGAAGTATTTTCAGTTCTAAATATATTTCCCCCCCCTTTTTTGTTTCATCTAGCTTTATTGTCCTGTTTAAATCTAGATAATTACCCATGAAAATTCAATCAAAGTGTGCCATTGATAATAATATTGTTACACAACTATACGGTAATAAACTGGTTAAACAAGGACTGGTGATGACAATATTGTTACAGAACTACATGGTAATAAACTGGTTAACCAAGGACTATTGATAACAATATTGTTACACAACTATACGGTAATAAACTGGTTAAACAAGAACAATTTTGTTACACAACTACAAGGTAACAAACTGGTTAACCAAGGACTATTGATAATAATATTGTTACACAACTATACGGTAATAAACTGGTTAAACAAGGACTGGTGATAACAATATTGTTACACAACTATACGGTAATAAACTGGTTAACCAAGGACTGGTGATAACAATATTGTTACACAACTTCACGGTAATAAACTGGTTAACCAAGGACTAGTGATAACAATATTATTACACAACTACAAGGTAATAAACTGGTTAAACAAGGACTGGTGATAACAATATTATTACACAACTACAAGGTAATAAACTGGTTAACCAAGGACTAGTGATAATATTATTGTTACAGAACTACACAGTAATAAACTGGCTAACCAAGGACCAGTGATAATAATATTGTTACACAACTACACGGTAGTAAACTGGTTAACTAAAGACCAGTGATAGCAATATTGTTACACAACTTCACGGTAATAAACTGGGTAAACAAGGACAAAAGGACTAGTGATAACAATATTATTACACAACTTCACGGTAATAAACTGGTTAAACAAGGACCAGTGATAACAATATTATTACACAACTTGAGAGCAATAAACTGGTTAACCAAGGACTAGTGATAACAATATTATTACACAACTTCACGGTAATAAACTGGTTAAACAAGGACTATTGATAATAATATTGTTACACAACTATACGGTAATAAACTGGTTAAACAAGGACTGGTGATAACAATATTATTACACAACTTCACGGTAATAAACTGGTTAAACAAGGACTGGTGATAACATTATTGTTACACAACTACAAGGTAATAAACTTGTTAACCAAGGACTGGTGATAAGAATATTGTTACACAACTTCACGGTAATAAACTGGTTAACCAAGGACTAGTGATAACAATATTGTTACACAACTATACGGTTATAAACTGGTTAACCAAGGACTAGTGATAACAATATTATTACACAACTTCACGGTAATAAATTTGTTAAACAAGGACCAGTGGTAACAATATTATTACACAATTTCACGGTAAGAAATTGGTTAACCAAGGACTAGTGATAACAATATTATTACACAACTTCACGGTAATAAACTGGTTAAACAAGGACTATTGATAACAATATTATTACACAACTTCACGGTAATAAACTGGTTAAACAAGGACTGGTGTTAATTGTTACACAAGGATCTAGTGATTAAGTGTTCTCAAAATGTGTTACTTTATGGAAATGGGGTTGATCAATGATAATAAAAGTTCAGCTATTGATTTGTAGATAAAGTTCCATTAATGTAAACTTAGATATAGGAATAGATCAAATGATGGATTATAAAATACAAGCTATTTATTTTCTTACTTCTATTTTACATCTCTAGTTTATTGTAGTTCTTTCGGTCATTAAAAGACACGAATACAAGAACAAGTTATAATAACTAAGAGGTCATCGATAAGGCTTAACAGTTAAAACTCAAAAATAGTTCTAAAACGCTTCTATTTTTTAAATGAGGGTCCCTTTGTGCACTTTGAACAACGCGTGACATTCATTATGAATTATAAACCAATTAAGACACAGCATTTTTATACTTTCGTAAGTAAAATATTAAATAAGAAATTAAAAACAAATCCATTAAAACACAGCCAAACAACCGTTGCTTCGTTATTATTAAATATGATGGCGCTTTCACGTTTCACTTGAAAGTACGTGACCGATTACTACCCATCATTTCCATGACAACGTTCATCATCAACAGCTAGGTTTCTAGCGTTCTTTTTTTTCTATTTACAAAACGAGAGAATTAATTATGTATTTTACTCAAAACAAAAACTTACTTTTGAGGTATTTCAGAAGTCAATATAACCCAAAAACATGATAAATGATGAACGTTTAAGTATTCTAGAATATAAAACAAACCATTTAAAACATGTTCTTACCTTAGTTATTTTCAAAAATTATAAGCAACCTAGTGACTAAAGATATTTTCTTGAAAAAAAAAAGCCTTAAAGAAGAATACCAATGAACTTATTGCTACGCATGCGCAGCTAACCTAGCGGATGAAATTATATTTATCATGGCCCAGTTGGTTCAATGTTTTATATAACTTTTAAAGTGAAAATTTCCAGCATGCTAGTCAAGCTCGGGGAGGTAGTGACTTCATATTCATTATGGTATTTTTGTTCCCTTTAAAAAACCTATCGGTTCAATCGAGAACCTTTTATCATCAAGATCGTGAGCTATGTAACGTCTACAACATTACAAAAAACATGTATTGAATATTTCAATTAACATGTCTAAAAAGATATCCAAGTGATACATTTAATGAGTAACTATTTATCTAATATTCTTTAGTGTTTTAAAAGCTAGACCACATTAAAATCCTTTTATTTCTTACATTAAACAGCTGATGGAGATTTTCATTTAAGAATAGCTAATTAAGTACTTTCCAGGTTTAAATAGCTTGCAATGATTTAATTTAGGCACGAGAAACATTTAGATTAAATGTCTATCTTGTGACATCAAATATTCTATTAATATATTAAATAAGATCATATCGACAAAGTTAAATATATCACACCAAAATTTAGGCCAATCAACGTTATACACATGAACTTCACTTATTTTATTTAAAGCTAAGTAAAATTGATGCAACTGATTAGGCTTAGTGATTCTGACGTGTCGTAGGTTAAGCTTAGTGAACAGGACGTGTAGTAGGTTAGGTTTAGTGAACCTGGCATGTAGTAGGTTAGGGTTAGTGAAAATGATGTACAATGGGTAAAAATCAAGAAAACTGACGTAATTTGACATAAAGACAGAATAGCATAGAAACAGTATTATATGTTCAAGTAGCCAAAAGTAGCAAAGAGAAAAAAATATATCATTGACAACTTTATTCATACACAACGTTGCTGACATTTTAAGTGATGCAACGCAGAATAGAGCATTGAAAGCGTGTAAGTAAAACTGTTACGCTGAACTTTTGACTAATTAATGTTTCCTGGAATTATGTGATACACTTCCAATACTTCATATCCAGTACACATTTAACCAAAGAAGTAACTGTAAGGTCTAGTTTGGCAAGGTGTAATAACCATAGCTTACTTCCATGTTAAGCCTATCGCTTAACACGCAGCGACTCGTAAAAAACAACAACATGAAACAAGTTTCAAGTTAATGAACGTACTAAATGGTGAAGCTATCATCCAGGAGATTTCGTAATGTTATACAGTGTAAAAATAAGACAGTGGTGCTACCATCCAGTAGATTTGGTTATGTTATATAGTGTAGAAATAAAACAGTGAAGCTATCATCCAGGATATTTGGTGCTAATAAACACAACAGTGACATCATACTGATACTACACAACACTGGTTTCATGTTAATACAACACAACACTGCTGCCATGTTGACACAGAACTACACTACTGTCATGTTGACACAAAACTACACTACTATCATGTTGATACAACACAACACTCATACCATGTTGACTCAAAACTATACTACTATCATGTTGATACAACACAACACTGCTGCCATGTTGACACAAAACTACACTACTATCATGTTGATGCAACAAAACACTGCTGCCATGTTGACACAAAACTACACTACTGTCATGTTGATACAACACAACACTGCTGCCATGTTGACACAAAATTACACTACTGTCATGTTGATACAACACAACACTGCTGACATGTTGACACAAAACTACACTACTATCATGTTGATACAACACAACACTGCTGACATGTTGACACAAAACTACACTACTGTCATGTTGATACAACACAACACTCATACCATGTTGATACAACACAACACTGCTGCCATGTTGACACAAAACTACACTACTGTCATGTTGATACAACACAACACTCATACCATGTTGACACAAAACTACACTACTGTCATGTTGATGCAACGCAACACTGCTGTCATGTTGGTAGAACAGGACACTGCTGTCATGTTGATAGAACACAAAGTACATTGTATATTCTTACCCCTCACAAAGCCGGAGAGTCCAGCTGGCGATAATCCAGAGGGACACCATGAAGACAAGCAATACCGTTCCGGGACATATCGTCATGAGGGTCTTAAGCACAAAGCGGGTGTTAAAGTTGATCCGGTTTAGGGCTCCGATACTGCGGGAAGATGCGTCCGTAAACAGTTTGCTGTGTAACAACATCACCCGACATATGAGATACAGACGTAAAAACATGGGCAACGATAAGACTACGTCGACGGGCACCTCGGTCGACTCGACACGACCCTCCTGATTAGTGTTCCACGTGAAATAATACTCTCCAGGAACTGGATGTACAGCACTCACAGCAATTTCCAGCAGTATTAGGCTTATTCTTTCCCACGTCATAGCTATCCTCCAATCATCAGCACAGTTGTCGATGAGAAACAGCTGAGAAGAAAAGGATGATATTGAAGAATAAATCACGTGCGTTAATTAATATTATTAATAATAATAAGGTATTGTGTAAGGCCAATCAGAGTGTGTGTGTGTGGGGGGGGGGGGCCATTTGGCTCGGGCCTTAAGCTCAAAGGGGCATCAAATTTAGACACTTGATACTTTTGTCTTTGTTAAGTTTCATGACTTGTTATTATATGCCTCCCAATCAGACCAAAATCTACCCACACTCTCAGCTTAGTGCTGCAAGTTATATATATATACGAATTACATATTCAAATTGTTTCAATTTTCCTTTAGACCAATGATTGTCTTATTTTGTTTTCATGTGTCATAATTTTTTTTGTTATAGCCAAAAGCCTCAAAACATTGAAGTGGCTTAGGCCTCTCTGAGAGGACCAAGTATTAAGTGTTGGAGTTCAATCTCTTTTGCCTTTCTTCGGTAAAATAACAGGTACAAAGTCGTTTTTCGTCTGTCCCCTATAGAGACACGCTTGGCTTCTACATCGTTATTAATCGGATAATTTAAAGTCGAAAATATGACGGTCTGTTAATAGAAAAATGTATGTGTCGAAAGAGTGACAGTTGATGGAGTAATATCTTTACACAGTTCAATATACAAAAATATTTATTTAGTGAGGATACAAAAAACTTTGAATTGAATACAGTATCTTAATTATCATAATACTATATAAGTTGTATCATATAATTTATTGTATATAATTATTATATACAAGAGAACCTGTATTCAATACAGTATTTTAATTATCATGACTTGTGTATATACAAGAGAACCTGTATTCAATACAGTATTTTAATTATCATGACTGGTGTATATACAAGAGAACCTGTATTCAATACAGTATTTTAATTATCATGACTGGTATATATACAAGAGAACCTGTATTCAATACAGTATTTTAATTATCATGACTGGTATATATATAAGAGAACCTGTATCCAATACAGTATTTTAATTATCATGAC